GACCATGCAACTCCTTATGTTAATACGAAATGGAATCTGTTTTTTTAGCTCCTTGTTAATGATTGGTTTACTGTCCAGCTATGGAAATTTTCAGTCATGCATTAATTTGTTGCCATGGGATTTGTCGTTTCTTATTACTTTTGGTGTTCTAAAAATTCTGAGGCACGTCCTGATTCAGTGGTGTGAAATTAACAGGCACAAGATGTTGTCGAAAGTGACCCATCAACGCATAGCTTGCAAAATAATCATGTTTTTCTTTCATTCGTTCTGTTCTTGACAATTCTTGGTTTTGCTGGCTTTAATTTGTTTATAACTATTGTTGTGTTCCTTAAACAATTCACACACGCTTGGATGACCATGATAGTACGTGTTTGGTATTAATCAACTTGCTTTCACTGATCAAGATGGTTTTGAGCAACAAAGAAAGACTTGAAGTACAGCTATTGAGAGATATGTAATGAGTTGCAGCATAACAATTCAACACCATTTGCAGTAACCCTTTTTTTAGTGTAGCAGGACAGCTTGTTTGTTTTTAATTCTTATCCCGTTGTTGATTCTCATCAGCATTTCTCCTCTGCTGTGACAGATGGATAGGGCTTCTATCCTTGGTGATGCAATTGAGTATCTGAAGGAGCTTCTGCAAAGGATCAGCGATCTTCACAATGAACTCGAGTCAGCTTCAAGCTCTTCGTTTGTTGGACCAACATCAGCTAGCTTCAACCCATCAACACCAACATTGCAGACATTTCCTGGCCAAGTCAAGGAAGAACTTTGCCCAGGCTCATTCCCTAGCCCTACTGGACAACAAGCCACGGTGAGTCCAAATTTGGTTATTAATGTTAACTTAGGCACCTCATTTATTTTAGTTTTGTGATACAGCACTACCTAAGCCTGCTTAATGATTCACATTCGTACACTGAATGTTTTACAGTCCGTGTTAGTACATTTATCAGCTGCAGGTCTTCATCGCCCCTTATTTCTTTTTCGAGAAATGTTCAGGCAAGCACTGACATGTAACGGTACCGGTTCGTATGACTCTGAGTGAGACATTACTCTCTTGTTTATTCAGGTTGAAGTCAGGATGAGGGAAGGGCATGCAGTCAATATCCACATGTTCTGTGCGCGTAGGCCAGGCATCCTGCTGTCCACAATGACGGCCCTCGACAGCCTAGGCCTCGACATCGAGCAGGCGGTCATCAGCTGCTTCAATGGCTTTGCAATGGATGTCTTCCGAGCTGAGGTCTGTGGTCACCGCACTAATACCATTTCTGCTGAATTCTGATGGATTCAATTCAACCAAATTAACCCATCGTTGCTCACCCTCTTCATGTCTCTGTTGCCTCCTCCAGCAGTGCGCGGATGGTCCTGGAATGGTGCCTGAAGAAATTAAGGCCGTGCTGATGCACACTGCCGGTCTCCACAACGCAATGTAGCCGGTCCGAAAACAGGCCACCGCCAGGATGATGATCCTTTCTACAGGCTTCGATTTAGAAGCGGCATAACCTGTGGTGACCATTGGTTTCTGGGGCAAGTGATGAATTTAAGATGAGGCTCGCCATCTCGGGCATGAGACATGAGTGATGGTGTAATAGAATCTATGCTGCGTGTTAAACAATAGTATAATGGTGAATGGTGATGTGATAATTAACATCAAATTCAGTGCCTGTTTGTCAGAAATGATGCACAGGGAGATGAATGCGTTTAGTTGGACGCCAAATTCCAAAAAGTTGCTACAGTACCTGTCACATCGAATGCTTGCGGCTTATGCATGGAGCATTAAATGTAAACGAAAAAAAAACTAATTGCACAGTTTGGTGGGAAATTACGAGACGAACGTTTTGAGTCTAATTAGTCCATGTTTGAACACTAATTGCCAAATAAAAACGAACGTGTTACAGTAGCCCCAAATTCTAAGTTTCTGGAACTAAACACGCGCTCAGCGTCCAGCAATGATTGTTTTTTTTTTGAAGAATCTCCAGCAATGATTGTGACTGGCAGGCAGAGGCAGGCAAGCCGTATGGCCTTGGCCCTTGGGTCTGTCCTTGATTCAAATGAATTGAATCCTCTGGCTTCTTTGTTATTTATGCCAACTGTTTTGCAGAATTGCAGTCAGTGAACTCCTGCCCCCATGTCCATGTGAAGACTGAAGACTGTAGGCTGGGCACTGGAGTGAAGCTCCTAGATGAGTCGGCTGGTAGCTGATAAACGGCCGGTAGCTGATAAATAGGGGCCTTGTTTAGATTAGGGTTATGAATTAATATTCGGCACTGTAGCATTTTTGTTTGTATTTGACAATTATTGTTCAATCATAGTCTAACTAGGCTCAAAAGATTCGTCTCGTAATTTACAATTAAACTGTATAATTAGTTATTTTTTTATCTATATTTAATACTCCATGCATGTGTCCAAAGATTTGATGTGATAGAGAGAGAGTGAAAAAACGTGCAATCTAAACAAGGCCAGGGAAGGATTTGCTGGGGAGTGTGGATGGCATTGGCTGCGTCACTGCCCCGGATTCAGTGATGCCTGCGGTGCCTCCAACCTGCAGGATGCAGTTCTTGCCTTGTGCAGTTGTGCTGCCATGCCCCTCCGGCCCTCCCAATCCGCAGTCAGACCACTGCGAGATCTGCAGTGCAGCTGCAGGGCTAACGGCTCGGACTTTAAACACATCTATCCAATCTAGCCATGGTAGGTGATAATCAATGTTTCCCATTTAAAAATGGAGATAGTAAGTACATGCATTTTTTATCTCTTTGTTCAGAAAATCAATAATGCCCGGGGTTCGTGAGAATCGTGACACAAGAAACTGATCTAAATCATTCCAAGAGGTCCAACTCGAAATCGAAATAGATATAAACCCCATGTAACTCTCTGGTGCTGCTCTCGCTGCTCTCATCCTGTCATCCACCATGTTGTTCTGTAAATTATTTTTGAGTGGCAACTCCGATTGCCATCCCTAGGAAATACTACCTTCGTTCCAAAAAAGAATGTAATTTTAGGTTTGGATTGAGTCAAATTTCTTTTGTTTCGCTAAGTTTATAGAAAAGTTATTAACATTTATCACTCCAAATAGTTACACTATTAAAATATATTATATGATTAATCTAACCATACTGATTTGGTATCATAAATGTTGGCATTCTTTTGTACAAATATAGTCAAACCTAACACTGTTTGACTCTTCGAAAAGCTAGCATTACATCTTTTTTGGATGGAGAGAGTATATTAGGTGGAAAAGTCTCCCTTTCCTCGGTTGACAAGTTAGAAAAAGATAAAAAATGAAAAGTAGAGTCCAACAAAAGAGAAAAATAGATTTGTAGGTCAAAATTTTCATATATACTCTCTCCGTCCACATAAGAATGCAATTCTAGCACAGTAACATATTAAAGTAGTTTGAGTTTTACTAACCATAAATAAAAAAATCTATATTTATATAATATCAAATAAGTACCATTAGATTTGTTATGAGATATATTTTTATACTATACTTATTTGGTGTTATAAATATTAATATTTTTATCTATATATTTGATCAAATTTTACATACATTAATCCAGAATGCTCCTAAATTTGCATTATTTCTTGGATAGAGGTAGTACTTATGTTTTTGGCCTTTTTTTCTTCCCTAAAGCACAATACAAATGTGAAAACTCATGTGTCCATATGCACACTCGCGATAGGTACATATATGCATCACTTTGATAAATCCTTGACTAATAAACTTACTTTATGTGACTCGTCGATGGAAACATACTTTACTATGGAAAAATAACTAACTAAAAATACGGGCACTTATACCGGATCAGATATTCGAATCGAGGACATATTCCACTACAAGGATCTAACCAACTAAGTCACGCTCAGTTCTCTTGTTTTTGAATTATGATGTAAAGTTCGAGATATTCCTCTCATGACCCTTAAGTTAATCCCTTCGCCCATAAATATTTTTTTTTGAGATTTTGAGGATAAATCAAGTAGAAAGAAAAAAACTTTCAAGCCCCCCATTAAAGCATCAGAACTAGTTCTCGATTGATATAATCAATAGTCGGGCCATCCTAATTAGTCAACTCTTCATTTGATATTTTATAAATTCTTATATTTGTGGACAGCCTTGAAGACCAAAAGTAGTTCTTATATTTGAGAACAGATGAAGTACTCATTTTGTTCCAAATTAAGTGCACTTTTAGTAGTAATTTGAGATTTACCCAAAAATAAGTACACTTCTAGTCGTTATGGTCCACCTAATTCTAGTAGGCCTTTTTTTACTTTCTCTACTTCTAAAGAGCAATCATTACATGCCAAAATAGTTTTTGATAAGATTAAATTTATAATTTTTAAGTAACATTGATCTTCTCCGAGGATTCTAAAAGTATACTTATTTTTGGACGGGGGAAGTATTAACTTAAAAGCTCCATTTTAAACCCTGGTCCGTGCAATACCCTAGGCAGGGCATATTCTCCTTTCCTTTCGCAAAAGTCCCCTTTTATATCTCCTTTGTGTAAGATGTATCTCATTCTTTGTTGCACCACTTTTCTGAAAGAAAAATATGCTAGCGACGCCCTCTTGCTAACATGGCCTCTACAATATTTTCATCTCTGAATGAATTAATTTCTATAGTTATCTTAAGTAATTTTTTTATGTTTAGCTAAATATATTAAAAAGAAGACAAATGTTTATAATATCAAATGAACATATTATGAAAATATATTTTATAGTGTTTCCAATAATACTAATTTGGTGTCATAAATCTTCATGCTCCTTTCTATAAATTTGGTAAAACTTAAAAATATTTAACTTAAGATAAATCTAGAAATTGATTTATTTGGACAGAGATAGTAGCTTCCTAAAGTCCTGTCAATTTGAGTTCAAATCTTAATCCAGTCGTTGACAAATTTCCCGCAGCTCTCCGCCTTGATGGCACTATTACGGAAAAAGCAAACCCGCCTTCTCTACCACTGGTCAGTCTCCACTCCACGCCCGACAGAGTAGGAGGGGCAAGAATGGCGACCCCAGTGCGATCGGCGGCCGCATCCTGCCGCCTCGTTCCGTCGATACCTCCGGCGAGCTCCGGACATGTTCAACAACTGGCGTGCTTCGGTACCCGAACCGAGCCTTGTGGTGCCCGAGGGTTGTCAATGGTGGTCGCCGACTCCACCCGCCGTCGGGCCAAGTTAGGGGACGGCGGGGACGGCGTCCTCGGGGCGTCTGTTCTTGGAGGGCTCGGGATGGCGGGATTGGGGGATCAGCTGAGCGTGGTCATGAAGTTCGGGGGGTCCTCGGTGGCGTCGGCCGCGAGGATGGCGGAGGTGGCTGGCCTCATCCTGACCTTCCCCGAGGAGCGCCCCGTCGTCGTCCTCTCTGCCATGGGGAAAACCACCAACAACCTTCTCCTTGTACCGATCGCTTCGCACTGCTCTTGATTGGTTTTCTTTTAGGCTTTTAGCTCTGTCCAATCTTTCTTTGCTTTGCCAAAAGTTTGCTGTTCCTTTTGCCTGCTGCATAATTCGCTGGTTGAATGCATCAAGAAGAATCTTCAGTCACCTAAAGTGAACTTTTTTTTTTTTTTAATGATTAGCAATCTAGTCGTGAATCTCTAGGCCTTGGTAGATGCTTGGTGAAAAATCTGTGTTGTCCATGGTTTGCTGCAGGGGTGCATAAAGAATGCCTAGAAACAAGGATTAAGTTTACTAAAATACTGAACCTTTATCCATGTTATGCTGTTTGCATTGTATAAGAAATATTTGAGCTAAAGGGAGCCGTGAGTTATTTTAATCGTTGTTTCGTGTATACCCTAAAATTCATGGTATATGTGATCGTTTTTAGGCTGGAGAGAAGGCAGTGGGGTGTGGAGTGATCCATGTTTCTGAAATAGAAGAGTGCAACATGATCAAAGACCTACATATCAAGTATCCCACTTTCTTTTTGAGCTGCTAACTATTAGAATACTTGCAATAATCTCAATTGATGTTGACTTGCTCGCTGTCAAACCAGGACAGTGGATGAACTGGGGCTTCCAAGATCTGTAATACAATGTAAACCCACAACCTTATGTGACCACCTTCTGTATTTTTCGGCCTTTGTGTAACAACTGTGGACAAACTCTGTAGACATGCTGGATGAACTGGAGCAACTATTGAAAGGTATCGCTATGATGAAAGAGCTGACGCCTAGGACCAGCGACTACCTTGTTTCATTTGGAGAATGCATGTCCACCAGGATTTTTGCTGCTTATTTGAACAAAATTGGTGTCAAAGCACGGCAGGTACTTCTTGACGTTTCCTTGATTTGCACTGTGATTCAGTGAGCTTTTCAGGCTATGAACTTATGGATACATCAGCCTACAAAAATTTGCTATAGTATCCCTGCCCTATGGTGGGGATGTCCTGAAAATTTGATTAGTCATTGATTTTTTTACTGCGTATGCACTACATGTTCTCAAGTCTCAGTTCATTATGTTAGTTGCTTGCTGCTAGTTTTCTGCGGAAATTTCATATTTCGATAATGATTCATTCATTGATCTTTTCTTTGTGTGCGGAAAAGATTCTTAGATTCTTTAGATTTTTTGATTAATTCGATATTTCCATAAACTTATAACCTTTTAGATAATGGAGATAATCTCCGGCCTCTGCACCAACCAGGGTCACAAACACCATTTTATCCTTTAAAATGTGGACAACAGGATTTGAACCGTTATAGTGGAGTCATACACCCACAACTCAATTGACTGTTCGATTACAATCTGGAGTTCCCTTTATTTAATGTCTCAATTTGATACAGGCCTACAGGGACCTATAATGGTAACCAGCCTAGCTGCAAATCCCCAGTGTATCCATATATACCCAAAGTCTTCTGCATTATGCAATGATGTGAACTCACGTTCATTATTAATTTTATTTTGAAATTCTTGTGCAGTATGACGCATTTGATATTGGTTTCATGACAACTGATGAATTTGGTAATGCGGATATCTTAGAAGCAACCTATCCTGCTGTTGCAAAGAGACTTCATGGGGACTGGATACTGGATCCAGCGATACCTGTTGTTACTGGATTCCTTGGGAAGGTATCTCATCAACAAACAATTTCTTCATCCATGAGGCAACTTGTTTATTTCAACCGCCATCACTTGCAGGGCTGGAAATCAGGTGCTGTAACTACTTTAGGCCGAGGTGGTAGCGACTTGACTGCTACAACCATTGGTAAAGCCTTGGGACTGAGAGAAATTCAGGTCTATGTTTAGTCTGAATAGATATTGAATAAACCATATTTTTCTTTCTGAGGAAAAAAGTTGAGACAACAGTTGATGCTAATCACTAAGCTAGCATGTGCATTTCATGAAAATTGTTGTTTATCCCCCATACATTGTCTATTTTGTCTGAAAGCATACTGTGCCTGTGCTAGGTATGGAAAGATGTTGATGGTGTACTGACTTGTGATCCAAATATCTACCCACATGCAAAGACTGTTCCATACTTAACATTTGAAGAGGCTACAGAACTTGCTTATTTTGGTGCCCAGGTATTCCATTCATTTTGAGTGAAGAATCGAAAATAACATTTCCCCCAAGAAAAACTATCTATCTTGGATTGTTAAAGGGGCTATGACGGTTGACATGCAATGATTCATTTTTATCACTAATGATTCTTTCTACAAATTATATTTTGAATGCTCAAGAGAAGAGTTCTGGAACTAAACAACAATGATATCGGGTACAGGATATTTCATGTTTATAGCAGGTTTTCAGTAGTGTGGCCAGGCTGCTTCTCAGTGAATAAATGGATCTTTCAGTTGCATACTTTTGAAAAACGAAAGACTCTTTAGTGCATTACTAGGGGTTCAGTAGATAAACCTCTGTTCCTTTGTTTACCTTTTAAAGCTATACTGATTGTTGCTTGGCATTTGCTTTACTAATCATCATGAACTGAACATATAGCTCATGATGTCAGTCTTATTCACTCTTGCTGAACAGAAATGAGAAATTTAGGTTCATTATTGTGGACTGTGCACTCCAATGCAGGTTTTGCATCCACAATCGATGAGACCTGCTAGAGAAGGTGATATTCCAGTTAGGGTTAAGAATTCATACAACCCTAAAGCTCCAGGCACCCTTATTACCAAACAAAGAGACATGGATAAGGTCTGTAGTAGATAACTTTAAATATATCCTCTCATCATCTGCTTGGCTTTCAAGCAATTGATTTTTTGCCCCTCTTTTTCACTACTAGGTTGTACTAACTAGCATAGTGCTCAAGTCAAATGTCACTATGTTGGACATCATGAGCACTCGGATGCTTGGTCAGTATGGTTTTCTGGCAAGGGTATGTTGAGCACTGACACTGAGCCATTTTGTTTACTCATATTTCATTATTCTGATCGCTGTATGTATGACCTTGAGCAGGTATTTGCTATATTTGAAGATCTAGGTATATCTGTGGATTGTGTTGCTACCAGTGAAGTTAGTGTTTCTGTGTCACTTGATCCATCAAAGATTTGGAGTAGGGAACTGATACAGCAGGCAAGAGTTTCCATCTACATGCTCAATGACAAGTAGCTGTACTCTTGCTACATTTCATTCCTTCATAGTATTAGCAAGTAAAAGCACAAGAGAAATTGTTTTAGTGACTTGATAGTCCATGCCTGAACATTTCCCAGAGAAATGTTTTTATTCTAATTCTCTGCGCTTCAACATTGTTAACAATCTTTCAGGAACTTGACAATGTAGTTGAAGAGCTAGCAAGTAGAAGCACAAGAGAATTTTTTTCAAGTGACTTGATAGTCCATGCCTGAACATTTCATGAGAATTTTTTTTATTGTAGTTCTCTGGGCTTCACCATTGTTAACAATCTTTCAGGAACTTGACAATGTAGTTGAAGAACTTGAGAAAATAGCAATCGTTCATCTACTTCAGCAGAGGGCAATAATTTCGCTTATCGGAAATGTGCGGCAAATGTCTCTTATACTAGAAAAGGTATAACGCCTTGTACAATCAATATTTCTTCTTCGGATTTTCCTCTCTAATGTTCTTTTCATTGGATAATAACCATTTAATAAATCCTCAGACCGGACACGTGCTGAGGAAAAGTGGGGTCAATGTTCAGATGATCTCGCAAGGAGCGTCCAAGGTACTCCCTCGCTCACCAGAGTCATCATAGCATACCAAATGAGTAACTATGTGCCTGTTGCATTCATGATTCTCAATCACAACATCTATCGTCAACGCAAAACCCAATCGTTGTTTGCCGTATGCATGTTTCTGGCTCCGACGTTTACCGTGCCTTACATCCTGAGCAGGTTAACATGTCGCTGATAGTCCATGACAGCGAGGCAAAGGCACTCGTAGAAGCTCTCCATCAGGCGTTCTTTCAAGACGATGTCCTGGCGCAGGTCGAAGCGGAGAACCTACTCGTTGACTGATCGACGTAGGTTGTTGTTGCCTCTAGGCTGTTATCTCCATCAACGGATTGAACCTATCCTCTTTGGCATGAAAAGTATTTGTCTTTCCAGCTTCCCAGCGAATGACTGCAAGACTTTGCGTTTCTTGTTTCCCAAAAAACTGGTTGCAGACACCAGGGAACACCGATTGTCAACAAGATGGCAAGCAAGCCTGTGATATAATTCCAACTGCCTCTAATCAAAATTTCTAAGGTTTGACTAAGGTTACGAAAACATTATTAATATCTGTAACACAAAAATAGATATACTATGAAAATATGTCTCGTGACGAATAAACTCGGTGAAAGTTTGACTCGATAGACGAAGAGGGCAGGAGTGTCAACCTTTATAAATAAACTCGGTGCTTGGGACAACGGGACAGCGCTCCCAACAGCTATACATCTGAAAAAACAGTTTCACTCTTAATTTTTTTCTAACCAAACACTCTTACCTCTACTTTCAAAAACATAGATCTAGCTCCGAGATTCATGAAATCATAGAGCTCCTCAAGAGTGCTCCGAAATTAGTTATTTCTGAAAATCAAGCATTTTTCGTCATCGACGGCAATCAAGAGTGCTTTGAAAACTGTGATTAGGCCTGTGGTCCAGTGGTAGGCCTGTCCAGTGGGATGCTAACCAACCCTAGTGATCGCACCTTTTTCTAGAATGTCTAGGGTACATGCACGCTTGCGCTTTCGGCGGTACTGCGCGTTTCCCGCGCACTGGAGGCGACGCCTCCGAATCTCTTATTTGCGTGTGTACGGACGCGTGGTATGAGTGCGGAGTGTGTGGGTTTTGTGCTTCCAAGTTGTAAAAAAAAAAGAGTGCTTTGAAAACTCCTGGTTACAGAAATTAGTTATTTCTCGAAACCAAGTATTGGCTACTGACTAAAATTTCTCGAAATCCAGTATTGGCTACTGACTAAAAATTCCATTGGTTATAACTTATAACTCGTGTCGTTAGGGTTCCTCGACAGCCGGCTGTTTGCTCGGCGTGTTTGTATTTGGTAGATAGTTGATTGTATCCTTACAGGGTTCATCTCCTCAGATATATCACTCATCGCTACCTGATTGGCGCAAGCATTACATGACAACTCTGGCCCGGTCACTCGAACATTACGGGCCCTCTTCCTTGTGCTCTTCCTGGGCCTTGCCCCTTCCGGTGGACTGCCAATGTGACATGGAATAAAGTTGGAAAAAAATCCACATTACCTCTTTCAACTTTTGCAAAAGTCGGTTTTTTCTCCCTGAACTTTAAAACTGGGTAAATCACCTCCTGAACTTTTAAAACCGTTCGTTTTACCTCCCTTGACCGGATATAAGCGGTTTTCACATGCGGTTTTGTCTTTATTTATTTATTTATTTTGGTTGAATTTTTTAAAAATCATAGTAAATCACAGAAAAATCATAAAATGAAAAATTCAATTATGTTGGACTGCAAATGAGTAGATCTACACAGTGAACATATAATATGGTATGCTTTAGTATATTTTTTTTGCTGTAGCTTTAAATATATGATTTTCTATAATTAATTCATAGTTGTAATTTCTATGGTCCAATTGTGGTGAAATTTTTATGGTGGGCTAATTATTGCATGCTTGAACTGTAGTAAAAATTTCATACTCATTGGCCTAAATAAATCTATATAATTTGGAACGGAGGGAGTACATGATCCAATGAGTATGAAACTTTTACTACAGTTCAAGCATACAATAATTAGTCTACCATAAAAATTTTACTACAATTAGACCATATGAATTAATTATAGAAAAACATAAATCTAAAGGTACAACAAAAAATATGTACTAAAGCATCTCATATTATATGTTCACTGTGTAGATCTACTTATGTGGAGTCCAACAAAATTAGATTTTCTATTTTATGATTTTTCTGTGATTTACTATGATTTTAAAATATTCAACCAAAATAAATAAAAAAGAAAAGACAAAACCACCTTTGAAAACCGTTTATAACCGGTCAGGGAGGTAAAACGAACGGTTTTAAAAGTTCATGGAGGTGGTTTACCCGGTTTTAGGGTTCAAGAAGGAAAAAAACAGACTTTCGCAAAAAGTTGAGGGAGATAACATGGACTTTTTCCATTAAAATTTAGTCACTGGGAAAACACCCCCTAAGCCTCGCAATGCATTCTTCTCCTTATCAGAGAGAGAGCTTTAGAGAACGTGGGCTTGTTCACGCAATGGGCCTTGGGCCTCGGGCCTCTTGTTAGTAGCCATATCTTATTATTTGGACCAACCGATTACCTGTTGTTCCACTAGTAGCCCAAGAAGGCCTACTGCTTAGCTGATCGTTCCCACCACTCTAGGAAATTTAAATATTTGCCATCGTTGCCGGAGGCACTTGGCCTGTTGCCAACCTTAGTTTTGCGTCACTTTGAACGACGTGGCAAGCCAACTCACCGCGCCAGCGTGTATAGACCGTGCGAGATGACACATTGCCCCTTCCTGATCTCTTTCAGCCCATCTCCTCTCTCTCACTGCCCCACTTCCATGTGGACCCCGCTGTGTCATCATCTACCTCCCACCGGCTCCCATCTCCTTTGTCCACCGCTGGAACCCAAGCCACCATGGCTGCCGCCGCTTGGGCCATGATCTCCGCCTTGCTGCCGCGGCCGCTACCTCCAATCACGCTACCGCTCTTCCACCTCCGCCTCCATCCGCTCGCACCCTTCAGCCCGCACTGCCTCGACCTCTGCCTTCGCGTCGCCCCGGCACGCAGACGCAGCTATCGTCGCTAGCTCTGGCCTCGCATCGTGTAGGGAGGCGCATAACACGCGCTCCCGCCCGGACTCTCGTCCGTTGCACATGCCTCGCGCTTATAGGCTGCTATGCCACCCACTTGTCGCCGATGACTCCCCACCACCAGCCATGTGATGGCTAGCTGGTGTGGCAGAATCTTTCGAAATAACACGTTTTCGGATACGCTCATCTTTCTCTAGATACTAAACACCCTGAAAGTTAGCTACATCGGACAGTTCCGTCGAGCCCACCCCAAAAGAGAACTCGAAACAATCAACGTTGTACATCCATAATCCAATAATAAGTATGAGCTTACAATATTTAGTCCATTTCATACAACAAGAGTTTTTAGAAATTATTCATTACAATACTAGAGTTCAGAGTGCGATAATTTAACAACAGAATGAAAATAAACATCTAGCGGAAATAATGCAAGGATCCGTCTGTGTCCACCAGAAGAATCCTCCATACAAGAGCTATTCCTCAAACTGCACCTACAACTGGAGAGATTGAAAGCTCTAGTTTGGTTTTAGTGAATTGATAAAACCCTAAGTACTAACCTAGTTTATCAAAGTGATCATGAGATATGTAGCACATTCTAAATGGTGAAGCAAATGAAGATCATGATATGATGATGATGATGCCATGGTGATGATCAAGTGCTTGGACTTGAAAAGAAGAAAGAGAAAAACAAAAGGCTCAAGACAAAGGTATAAGTGGTAGGAGCCATTTCGTTTCGGTGATCAAGACACTTAGCGAGTGTGATCACATTTAGATTTGATAGCCATACTATTAAGAGGAGTGAAACTCGTATCGAAATACGGTTATCAAAGTGTCACTAGATGCTCTAACTCATTGCATATGCATTTAGGATCTAGTGAAGTGCTAACACCTTTGTGTAGGATCTCCAGGAAGATAAAGAAGGCCTAGAGGGGGGTGAATAGGCCTGTAAAAATTCAACTCAAAACTCTGTCAGAACAGAGGGCGGCACTACTGCTCTTCGAAAATAAATCTAACACAGCTGAGATTTTACAGAGATGAACCTGACCCCATTAGCTGCTTAAATCCTATAATAGAAAGATAAGATCCAGTTTGAAGACTGAATACCACAGAAACTCCACACAAGAGTGGATCGAGCAACCAAACCCTAACACCAGCTAGTAAAGAGCTAAACCAGCAAGTAAACAAGATGAAGCACGCGAGACACAAGATTTATCCCGTGGTTCAGCTCACCACAAAAGTTTGCCTAAGTCCACGTTGTTGAGGAAGCCACAAAAGGTTTGGGCTTGCCACAAAGGCTTTCCTTACCCTCATTCTCAAATCAAGAGGATGAACTCTTGAAGTGAGAGGTGATTTCTTAGCTTCGAGAATGAGGTTACAAAACCCATATTTTTCGATTCCCTGCTTGTCATCTCGATAAATCTCATTAGTCCTCTAATTTGGTGGTCATCTATGCCAAAACCTACAATATGACTTGATTGCACTTACAATCTCTCCCTTTTTGGTGATTGATGACAACCCAATTAGAGCTTACAAAAGATATAAAATCAAAACTGAGATTTTTGAACCATGGGTGTAGGAGCCTCCCCCTAAATATGTGAATAGAGATTTAAATTCTTAATTTAGCATGAAAGACCACGATTCACATTTTAGGTGTGATGGGAACCTCCCCCTACATCCATGCCTACTATGGAGTGCTGAACAAAGTGTCACAGGAATAAACGTGATGCATATGATAGGTTATATCAGTTCAAGCACACAAGACCCTGGCTGATACAGCACTGGGTGGCACTGTCGGCCTCAGAGGGCGGCACTGCCGTCCTGACTATATCGGTCAGGTAGCAATCAGGTTCCTACAGCAGATCATATGAATATAAAACAATCTGAACTCAGAATATGACAAGCTAAAATAGTAACTATGAATACATCTCCATATCCGAAGCAAATTAAGTTACAAAGTAACTTATTACATAAAATAGAGTTTTGAGCGACTCTCAAACTCACAACCTAACAACTACTTCTCATAGGATCTGGACATAAAGCGCAGCTGCAGAGAACTCATGGCGTCGAAAAACTGTTGACCCCTCTAATGTTCTCCCCCTTTGGCATCAAGTACCAAAAAAGAAGAAAAAGAAGAAAAGTCACTCGTCATTGTCGGAGTCGACACGGTCTCCTAGAATATGTGCGAAATAAGGCTGCCTGAACCTGTAGATCGGTCTCTGTGGAGT